AAATGTAGTAAATTTTGATACTAAACACTTAACAATTTCTCTTTGTTTAACAATAGAAAGTAATAATGACTTGCTTTAAAATCAATGTGTGGTCTTATATTATTTTCTGATATAAATCCAGACAATTAAAAACAATCCAGAAAGGTCCAATTCTGTCCTATTTATTTACTTTCAGCATTAATACTTGCTCAAATATGTATCTACTCTCAGGATTAGTTTTAGGGTAGTGTGGCAGTGATTTTGACAACTGAACAATAGACAGATGGAGAACCACTTGAACTGTGTAAAGGATACAAAATATGTATCGCAGAGCAGGTTTGGTGTAGTCTGCTTGCTTAAGATAGGAGATAACCTCAAGGGCTGGCTGTCTTATCATAACACAGGATTCATTAAAAGTCTTTATCTGAAAAAAGATACACAGAATTAATCAAATCTGTTAAGATCTGACAGGAAAACAGATCATCAGAAACCTACCTGCTGCTGGTATCGCGGAGGGAGCCCGTGGGGGAAGAGAGTGTGCATATGCGAAGCTGGCACTGTGTAAAACTGTCCAATATGGTTCTCTGTCTGGGATGCCTGTGCAGTGAAGAAAGGTCTTAATACATTTATGATACATTTTTACACAAAATCTGGACAAGCCTATCAATGGGTCCAGAATTATTAAAAATGAATTTAAGATGAAAACTAAAAGAAAGTCTGACACATTTGAGAACAAAAAGATGTCAGCAGCCTGTCTGGACATAACATCTAATTTGCTTTTAAAGTTAATGTAATTGGAAGGACAATATTATTTCTAAAAATGGTATTTTCAAATGAAACACTACACAAATGCATCATAATCTAAAACTGAAGGAGATGTGCAAGAAAAGCTGAGTAAAGTATAGTCTAAAGAAATAAACTTTTGCTTACTGGATCATGTTCTGGGCTTCTGAAGATGGAGAACTGGTCTGGGTATGAGTGATCAATCAGAGCCTCCTGCTGCTGACAGATAGATGTGGAGTGGAGGGCCCTAGCATGGTTTATCTGAAAATATTTAGACATTCAGAGTAAATATTGGGAAGCGACAGTCAATTATTCAAACTTGTATAAGGTGACCAGTAGGGATGTAACAATAACCAAAATATTGTGATATCGTATCATCAAATGTCTTTCAATAATATCGTGAACCATCACAATATTATGAAAATTCATTGTTATGGTGCAGCACCAGCTAAAAGAAACAGAGGGAACTACATAGACCGTGATCCTTTGCTCTGTTTCAGTCCAGTTTACAAGATGAAATGACTTATTAAGCACTTTTAAATCTTAATTCTTTAGTTTATTACAGAACCAAAGGCTTGTTAAGGTATTTTTAAAGGAAAAAGTAGTACATTCACAATTTTGTTAGCATCAACAAAATATCGCAATAAATATCGTATGTTAGATGCATATCGTGAAAATACCATACTGAAAAATTTTGGATACTGTTACATCCCAAGTGACCAGATTTTCAAAATAAAAAACTCAGACACCCCCGGTTTGTGGTGGTTGGTAATAATAAAATGGTGAAATGAATGCACCATTAAAAAAAATTGTTATGCACTTGGCCCATTCATGACTAACATGTGTCAGTATAGTCACATATTCTTTGTATTTTGGGAATTTTTAGGCAGTTTTTCTGTATTTTACCTAAATTAATGCCAATTTATGCCTTTCATTACTGTTGGCAGGGATCAAAGTTGTTAAAAATAGAGACACCTGGGAAATTTCTTACATAAAACTAGTACAAATCAATAGTTTTGGATAAATCAGCTGGGACAGAGGACACAGGGTTCAAAACCGGGACTATCCGAGGTAAATAGGGACATGTGGTCATCCTAAACTTGTATATAATACCTTACCGTCTGTCGTACTCGTAATGACAACCTTTGGAGTGCCATTGTCTGAAAGAAAATATAACACAGCGTTTGCACAATTACACAAAGAAGCTGTACCAGAATTGCTGCACTTATAATCAGTGGCCTCCTGTAACCTTGTCAACTTAGCTCACGGCTAGCATGCGTGTGTAAAACTGCAATATCATGGCAATAAGAAGTGGCTACGATGTCTTACCTGTTAATCGCTTACACCAGGAGCTATTGTCCGCTACGTGTCATTAACTAAAATGTAAAAAAGAAGGGTAGATATTGAATTATTGAGCAAAATCCTGCACCTCCAGAAGCCAAGACCAGCGCGGACAACATGCACCTCCAAACCGGATGTGACGACACAGGACCACAAAACTCACGGACCAATCACGCTGCAGGATTCACAAGAAAGTGAATAAAATGGGGCTTGACTTTGGTACCTTTTTTATTACCTGCTCTTAATTTGTACCTGGCTGTCCTGAGTGGATTTACCATCTCTAGATTCATATTGTGCTTTTCATATTATTACTTTTTCTTTTTGGGAACGGCATTGGTATAGGCCCCTTTTCCATTCACTACCATATTTTAACATTTCTCATTTATTCTATATTTGAAATAATATATAATTCAGGCGATCCAAACTCACCTTAGAAATATATTAAATAATTATCTACAATGCAGTCGTGCGCGCCACCTTGTGCATTTTGGGGGAATTTTTTTGGGAGACTAATGGGATTGGTTTACAGATGAGGTTGGAACTAGGAAAAAATATGCATCGTGATAGCCCATTGCGTAATCTTCAAGACGAGCCATCAATAACGAGGCCATATCGACATCAAGCACCGCGACGAAGCTGTTGAACTTTTGGTCAACCTATTGATTTTGCCAAGTCGTCGCCATTTTATTAAGTGCCCAAATACCCAGCAGTCACCCCTAGTCAAATCCCCATGTTCGGTATTTTGCCTCCTTCTCTGGCCACATGAACGTAGTCCGAATACATTCTCGCGCACTAATCATTGTGCGTGTGCGCGCCACGGCATGGGCACCACGAGCGCTGCGGATCTGTCAGCTTTGACACGTTAACAGCTCGTGCGCAGACGTACAGCTCAAGCTGAGCCATTACTGGCGGGAGCAATGTTAACTTTCCCCGGGAGAAGTGGGCAGAAGCAGATCCGTAAGAAGAGTCCGCCACCTAGCTGCGGAGACAGACATCTTTGAACTACGTGATTATGAAAACACCCGCGCCAATGTTGTTCCACAGTGAGCGCTGCTCTCGGATGATTCTCAAAGTGGCTTTTGGGGGTGTTTTCACCTTCGCTGGTCACATTATGTAATCAAAGCCAAATCTAATGCACCACAAGCGGCGGGATCGTTGCTGCAAGCGACAGAGCAGAACAGTAACACCTTCACCTCATCTTAAACGCAGTTGGCTCTGGGACGCGCTTTCGGGTAAGTAGCCTACGTAGCCTTATTACACATTACCATGGCAGAGCGCATTCATGTGTGCAGGCCTGTCATCATCTGCGTACTCCGATCACTGGGGCTCAGTGACAACTGTGTGCATCCGCTTTTGCGCTAATTTTATCCTTGTTGCTGAGTATGTTTCTCCGTTTGATTTTCGCTCATGGACGGTGATATTTCTTACTCCAGTGTTGCTGACACCAGCAGAAGGGCTGGCAGAGGACAGATAGGAGAGAAATGTGGATGGGGACTTATCCTCACACAGACACTATTAGTGCCCATATTTTGATGCTACGTAGTACCCAGATCCATGTCGTACCCAGTTTAAAATGTTGTAGCGTATCTTGGAGCTCGCTCCATGCGCGGGATATTAGGTCTATGGAAAAGGGAGTGACGACAACAACACGTGCATGTGTGTATGATTTGTAAATGCGTCAGCGTCAGTGAATTGTGTTTTTCTAAGGTGCGCAAAGTCACAGCGGAGAAGGAAGCTCCTGTTAGTAAAAGAGTAACACCCCCACTGCCCTCAGACTACTGTACATACAGTAACAACCTCAGCCTACGCAGCAATGACATGGTACACAATGTACGACCAACACACGTATGACAGGTGAGCGCGAGGGCCACGAGCGCGCACGGGGAAACTTCCCTCACGTGAGGAGCGAGGCAGCTCTGGCTCCGTTCTCCAGTCTAGATACCATCAGAGCGGGCTCGTCTCCAGCGGGGAGCCGTGCCCTGCTGTTGTCAGGCAGATGATAATGGGGTAGTGTAGTTATTGATGATAACACCGTCATGGGATGGTGATGATGGCTGGAAATATGGAGGGCCATTATTATGATTTAATCGTTCCCTTGCTCTGGTGAGGAACCACAGTGGCTACAGTGTCAAGTCCACACATCATTCTGTCATTTCTCTCCTGTTCAAATGATTCTGAGGTTTGTCTAGGACTTTTGTAGAAAAAGATGATGCACACGAACTCATCTTAAAAATTATATTATATACTAAATATATGCTTTGGGAACATCATCCACATTTGCCCTCTTCTTTTATGATCTACAAAACAGTTAATTCAGTTCACAGACATAGGCTTGATCATCAGTGTCCAGTCTCACTTTTATTAGTATTGTATTACAATTTTATTTAAACAGAGTGAGAAGGAGGCTTGTGTGTGTATTCCCCCTTTATTCTGAACAGTTTTGACTCCCAAAAGCTCTCCATAACGGTTACATAACTACAGTAACTGGAACAGATGTTGATTTAAGCACTGTATGATTCAAGCAAGTGGGTTTGGGTGTGGAGGGACCAGGACACAGGAGAGTGCTCTTAAATAAAAACATCATTTGAGATTCTCTTGTAAGTGCAGGGGACACTGACTGTGTAGAGAGACAGATAAGCTGTTCCAGAAGAGAGAATGGGCTTTGTGGACTGTGTTATATTAGAAAATAGATGACTTTCTTTGTTAATTATTGGTGAGTTTAATGAGCGAAGTATTGCCATAGATGGTACTGTTTTTTCTCGTGAACGCAAGTCAATGTGAAAGTGGAGATTCTCTCTTAGGCAGGATTCATTTTAGGGTGTGTTTCTTGTTCTAATGCCACATTAAAAGTCAATTTACAATGGGGTCAATGAAAAGCTTACTTGACTTAGAGGAAGCGATGGGAGGAGGAATTTGCACTCCTTTCCAAAAATAAGTTTTACCCTTTCCTACGGATTTGTGTTACCACTACTGAAAGGGAGGAGGGGACTGGTCGGACTGTGAATGGAGGGATTTAGTTTGGAGAAGAGAAAAAAGAACCAAGTGGAGGAGGAAATATGGTTCTGATTAACATGGATACAGTGCATGAGTTGACCACTTTACTGTGTGGTCTACACAGAGTGAAGGCGAGAGAGGGAGAGACTGCATGGGACTAATAGAGAATGTATGCGAGAGCTTACTGCCAAACATGAAAAGGGGAGTTTCAGAGAGAAAAGAAAGTACAGCAGAGGGAAGGGTGGGCGGAGAAGTGCTTGTGGGAGTAGCTGAGAACAGAAGGCGCAAAGACACAGAGGAGGAGGAGACTATCAGGAGTGTGTATTTGTGGCCAGCTCAGTGATTGATACGTTGATTTATAAAAATGTGGATTAAACAGTGTCTCTGTTGTATTTAGAATCATACAGATATCACAGACTTGGAGCGTGTCTTCGTTTGCTCTAAGCTTCAGGAGAAGTGCAGTGTTGATTGGTCTCTTAGTCTGATGTGTGTGATGAGATCATCTCTGTGGACACAGGCTTTAGCACCTCTTCACAGCTGCCTGCCGGACGGGGACTTTCCCCTCAATTTCTCTATTGCTGCTACTCAACGTCTGAGCTCATCGAAATGACTAATCACTTGACTCTGTCTTTCTCTCCTCTCTCTCTCTGTCTCAAACTCCCTCCCTTTCAGCTAAAGCCTTAAAGACAAGAAACGGCCGAAGAAGGATCCCATTTGCGCTTGGATTTGTCCATCTTTTTAGTTGTAAATATCTGGACCCTTCACACCTGCAGTCTACTTTTAGTTGGTGACGTAACTCATTTCAAGGAGGCTGCCTAAAAGTGAATGCCAAAAGCATTTTAATCTCCCCCGTCTTCTCTGATGGACCAGAGAGTGAAGGGGGGCAGCCCTCCAAAAGCCTCTGTAGATGCCACATCTGCACCCAAAGGCTCAGAGAAGGACCATGTGCCAGAGAAGAAGCGTAAAGCCGGAGCAGAGGAGGAAAGTGGGGACAAGGGGGCAGTGCTGGAGCTGCTCATCGAGGGGCGCTGTGGGACCAAGGGAGATCAGCAGCTCCAGATCTCAGGCAAAGACACAAGCTGCCCCGAGGGGAATGTGAGACTCCGAATCGGACTCCAGGCCAAACGCACCAAGAAGCCGCCCAAGATCTTAGAGAGCTATGTGTGCAAGCCCACTATAAGAACCTATCAGAGGCAGGGCAGGGGGGCGCTGAGGGGGGAGGCAGAGGGGGGAGTGGGTCACCAGAGCAAAACCAGCTCCAGTGCAGATGAAGCGACCAGCAAAGAGCAACACTCGGGCTTGGATAGTGTCCAGACCACCTCCAAACAAACAGCATCTGCTCCGCCAGTCGCACCATCGTCATTATCAACATCATCATCAACAACAACAACAACATCACTGCAGCCACTGCCCTCAGCTCCCACCACAGCCTCTGCCTCTGCAGCTTCAGCTCAGAGGAGCAAGTCCACCAGTCAGGTGAGTTCACTGCACCTATGTTTATGCTTTACCTGTCAGATATCCTCTGACAAACTATTACGAAAAAAATGTCTTCATGTATTATTGAGAATATGTGCTTAAGTTTTATGTTGCACCACAGCGTAGTTCATAGAGTGCAAAGTGGTCCGTCTTTTAGCTCCTTTGCAATAAGGTCACAGCTTGTCTCACAGAAACCTCAGCAGCATGTTTAAACAAACACAACTATAAATAGGACAACAGCACAGCAACCGTTTGGAGCTTTTACACACATTGGTCTATCAGTCCTTATGACAATCACCCGAGGGGAAGAGCATTACTGGGGCAGTGCAAACGCCACTCGCGCCGCCACAAAATTACAGGACAAGTACAAAATGTCAAGCCTTCTCATCTGTATTAGTGGCAATTTATAGCTACCAATAGCAAAGCTTTCTGTGCGTCTCCATCTCTGCCCAGCTCTCTATATCTGTCCCTGTCTTCTATTTTTACATCCCCTCTTTTATACCTGCTCTCATTTATCTTTCACTCCCCCTCTTCTCGTTCCACTCTCTTCCTCTGCCTTTGTATTTCTCCTTTCTGTGTCAACCCCATTTTCACTACCCTCCTCTTGCTATGCCCTCTTTCCTCTGTACGATTAAGTAATTTTGTCCCCCTTATGTTATTTTAATGGGCAAAAGCAACATTTCTTCAGTTGTTCTTTCCTATGACACTTTATTACTGTCAGTGCGGACTTATGTATGTAGAAGGTATTGTGGTTAATGAGATTTCCTCCTTGTGTTCCCCAGGTCCCAATCAAACTGGCTGAAAAGGCTGATGTTGTTTCAAATGGTACATCAGAGAAAGTGAAGAAAAGTTCATTAGTGAATGGTCTGTCGGCTGCACATAAAAGCTCCTCGCCCAAAACTGACAGTAAATCTCAAATCCCATCTCCAAAATCCTCCCAAACGGAGGAAATAAAGACTGAAACGAGCACCGGCAAGAAACATAATGGCTTGGTGCAGGCATCCAAACACAAGGGACTATCAAATGAGAAAGGGACTGTCAACATCAGCAATGCATCTTCTGAAAAAGTCAAATCTGGAAAACATAATACTACTCCATCCATCTCTTCAACGGCAAAATTGACAGCAGACAGCTCTCAAAAAGAACCGTCAAATAACAGCAAATCTCCATCCATCTCCACTGTCACCCCCTCGTCTCCGATCACCTCCCAACCTCAAGATGATCCTTTAATGCAGCCTATGGTAGAAAAAAGAAAAGACAAAAAGAAGAAGTCTAAGAAAGAAAAACGAAAGGATAGAAAATCAAAGCGTGACAGATTAGAGGGAGAAAGGGCAAAGAGTCGCAGCGAGGAGAGCAAGACGAAGAAGGAGAGAGGGAGAGAGGATCGGCATAAATCTAATGATGTTAAAAAAGAACAAGCCCCCAGTAAAAATGACAAAACGTCAAGCCAGGAGTGTCAAGTTGAAAATACAGAAAGTAATGCAGACATTGGTAGTTGTACGATAGAAGAAGTTATATGTGATACTAGACAAGATGATAACTCTATAGACATAAAAGGCAGGGAAGCTGATCCAGTGGAAACAACAGGTGATAACAGTAAATCAAAAGACCAGGACACTTTGAGAAATTCGCCTCCGGTCCAATCCATATCCACGCCTCCCGCCTCTTTGCCCCCTCTCTCTGCCCCCTCCTCCCCTCCAGAACAAGACAGCCGCCCGCTAAAGAAACGAAAAGCCCGCAGGCCCAGCTGGACAAAGTTGGTGCACCGAGCTCAGAAAGCGGAAAATCATGAAGCCACTTTGGATTCCCAGCGTAATCCCTCTCTCAGTTTTCCCCAGAACCCAAAGACATCCCTTAATCCCAATGAGTCACATGCAGCCACTTCCAGCACTGTTCCCAAAAGCTCCTCCCCTCCGTCTACTCTAACTAGGTCTCCATCTCCAAAACAGACAAACCCAGAGCCTGTTACATGTGCCACGAAAACTCCACCAACCCCAACTCGTAAAAGAGGACGGCCTAAATCGCAATCTGGCAGCTCCAATGAACCTCCTCCAAAACTTTCCCCAAATGTTACCCCCACACAGGTGCCTATTCCTGGACAGGACAGACCACCTACTCCAGTGCAGCTATGTCCCACAGAGAGTAGACCCAGCCCAAGAAAGCGAGGTCGCCCTCCAAAGCGCCCGCTCCAAAACGATGACCAGCATAGCTCCAATGCACTGAGTGACCATGGTGACAAGAAAAGGAGTGTTCCCATGTATGAAAACAGGCAGCTAAACATCAGGAGGTTGATAAATGAGATGAAGAAGCGAAAAAAGAAGAGGTTTCACAAGGTTATGTCATCGGTGTTTGTGGCAAAAGATGCTAAATCGATAGAGGCTACAACAGTACAAACACTCTCATCTCTGTCCAGCTCCTTAGGGGGTAAGTTTGGTCCTCAAATTAATGTCAGCAAAAGAGGAACTATCTACATGGGAAAGAGGAGAGGACGAAAACCAAAAGTGCAAAGCGGCATCTCCCACAGCTCCCCTCAGCCGTCTCTGTTCACCAGTGCTCCAGAAACGTCTCTCTTTTCGCAGCCTCCCCCCTCTCACCCCTTCCCCTCCCCTTCGCTCACCCACTCAAGCGGAGCCCAGAGCCCTTACAGCGAACACAGCTTCGCCGACCCATCCCCGTGTCTGCTCTTCTCTCAACCTTTCTCCTTGCCCTCCCCCTCCTCCTCCTGCACCTCCCCGCGACCCCCCTCCTCATCCTCGCTCTCTTCGTTTGTGAGGAAGAGTTGTCCTTGCCAGGGCAGACCTCACTTCCCATTCCACCAGTCGACATGTAAGCTCTCCACTCCCACAACTTCACTGCAGCACGCACCTGGCTCTCCTCCGGGCCACCTGAAAGAGGCCACTACATCCCCCAGGAGTGAGTCCCATAGCGAGGAGACTTTGCCTAGCGACAGTGGAATCGGGACGGATAACAACAGCATATGCGAGCGCGGAGAGATGCGAGGATCCAGAGGGATGCTAAGAGTAGGTCACTCCTCCGGGATTGTCTTAAGCAGTCAAAAACATCCTGCTTCTATCTTGGAACACCCGTCTGCTGTCTCCCCTCCACTACTGTCCCGACACCCCAATCCAAATGCGCATAGGGACCGGCACAGGCACAGACGTCGAGATTTTGACTGCTCCTCTTCTTGCTCGTGCCTGTGCGCATGTTCTGGGCAAAGTAAATGCATTCAGTCAGACTTTTACTCCTGCCACAACGCACTGAAAAGACAGAAAGGTAAACATAAGAAGAAGCACCAGCAAATGCAAATGCAAGATCCAGAATTTCTATCAGAGTTAGAAGATCTCATCGTGTTGTTTAGTGAGATGCACATTGGGCGGAGAAGTTGGGCAAGGGCTGGTCTTGTCCATGGTTTTGAAGGGGGTAGTCCTGGGGGGAGAAGGCACCACTCCTCCCACTCAATGCGCTCCAATATATTTCGCATAAACTTAAATGGATTCTACTCACCTCACCCCTCCACCTACCCACACAACCCCTCTTTCCCAACTCAGCCTTTCTACTCCTGCCATCCAGTGCATTGTAATCGCAAGCTTGATCGAAGACAGTGCGGTTGTTCATCAAAATTTCAAGATTCAATTGAAAACATGTACAGGAGTTACCCGAGCCTTTACAACCATCTTCCTAACTCGTATCCTCTACCTTCTGCTAGTCAATTCGCTCTGCACCAATCTCCCCATTTCTTGCTCAATCCAGCTCGTTTTCACAGGCGTAGGAACAGACTTCTGCGAGACGGGGGTATCGGAGGTGAAGAAAGTCCAAGGGGGAGCGGCCATGCTGGATCAGGCCTCCCGTCAAACTTCTCCTGTGGGTGTGGGAGAAGCGAACACAAGCATAAACACAAGCATCGCCACCGACATTGCGACGAAGAGGATGAGTTGCAGGAAGATGAGGTGGAGAGGGAGAGATTTGGTTCAAAGCAAAGATCAGGGTTCATTTTCAGGCCAGAAGAAATCGGAAGAAAAACGGCAAGGGGGTTAGGTAGCATGCTGTCCAAAGAATCACCCTGGTCACGCCAGAATGGATCCGATTGTTTCTCGTCTGTTGCTGCATCTTCGTCAACTGAAAGATTTAAGCAGATACCGTTAACATCTGTTGGTTTGGGGTCTACACATCTGTCGTCTTTTGGGGGAGGCTGGGGCGCCCTGGGACATAGCTGGACAAAATACAGCAGCCTAGGAGGGACGACGTTTGGAAGTTGGACAGGCTTCAATAGTGAAAAGCAGCAAACAAACAAAACAGTTGCGGCAGGTGTGGAGGACGATGATGATGATGAAGAAGAAGAAGAGGAAGATGAAGAAGAGTCAGAATCAGTTTACAGGACATCACCGGCACCAGTACACACAAACCTGTTCACAACCGCAGCTATGGAGACCGGCACGAGGGGGCTGAGGTGGGGAGGGGACAAGCCGTGGAGGAGGGATGAGCCAGCCTGGATGGAGATGAGAGAAACAGGTAAGAGTAATGTTTATGTTTTGGTTCTGTCACATCTGCTGTCAAAGGTTATTTAGTGTATTTATTATACATTGGCTCTATCAAAATATTAGGAATTAATTTTTGTGGAAAAATATATTAAAAAGGCATGAGATTTGTAGTTTATGTTCTCAGTAGGGATGCTGCTTGATTATGACAAAAAATTATAATCGCGATTATTTGGTTCATAATTGAAATCACTACTATTTCAAACAATTACTTTTATACTGTAAACTATAGAGAAAGTATAGACCTAAGATATTTAATAAGTAATGTTGTGTGACACTTCTGTTCATGAGCCTATTTAGGTAACAAAAGTGGCTTTGATGGACATAACAAGTGCACATATTCTAAAAAGAAGGTAATTAATTGTATTTGCATCTACAACATTGGCTCTAATTGAATAGAGCTATAATTGAAACCACAATTTTGAGTTTGATCTATTGCACAGCCCTAGTTCACAGTGCACATTTTAAACTCAAACAGGAGCATTAAAATTTCAGAAGATTTTTTTACCCTTTATTTAACAAGAAAAGAGAATCCCATTGAGATTAAAAACCTCTTTTTCAAGGGGGTCTTGGCCAAGAAGCAGCAATTACAGTGAAATGTGAACTGCTAAATAACTACATGAAACTCATACATGCACTGAACTTGTTTGTAAAGTAAAGTTAAATTACAAAGTTAGCAAGTTTAACACAACATTTAAAACCACCTCACAAGGATGTAATATTTTTTTGCGGGTTGTGAAGGATATTATATAACAAAATAATTGCACATTTTGCTTTTTGCTGATTGTGGCTATTCAAATGGAAATTTCAATTTATCTTCATGTATTACAAAAGACTACGGTCTATTCTTTGTAGAGCAGTAAAAAGAACATTCTCAGTAGCTGCAGTGTTAAAAGGGTAAAAAGCAAGACTGTGGTTCAATATAACAGATGCAACCAAATCATCAGCGGGTGCACTGAATGGATTTTATGCCAGGGCTGTTCTTTCAGAGGATCAGAATGACAGGTTTTTATATTTGCACAATGTGGGCACGGCGAATGTGGCATAACCATTTTAGAAACAAGACTACTTTTCTCAGGTGTTGTTTATAGGTACATCAAAGTCGAGCAAAGAAATAAGACTTGCTTCTTTTTATAGACAATCCAGATTCTTGATACTGGGAACATAACACCAAAACCAAAATCTTTTTTCCAAAAATGTGACAAAATGAGTACAGAATCTTGATTTTAAATCAGGAAACTGTCAGATCTTGTGATTCTGTAGCAAAGTACACACTGTTGCTCCCTGTGGGTATACAGGGAATACAGTCATTAGGTAACCACTATATTGGCTATTTAAAGCTTGGCCTATCTTTCCCAGCTGACCCACAGTGCCTATTTCACTTGGAAAATGCAATAAGGAGTAAGTGGTCATTCTTGTCTGGGTCTATGGAAAATGGAACAAAGATATAAACTTCATTGTGATGAATGAGGAGGAACACGGGGGTCACTGTGGGGGCACATGAAGCTTGTGAAGGGAAACTGTCTTTTTAAAGAGGTGGAATACAATTGACATGAGTCCACAGTCTTAACTGAATACACATGTGGTGCAGCTCGCTAACACAGTCCCTCTCCCTCTGTCACCCTTTAGATTTATGTCCCCATTTACTGAATGTGCAAAACAAATTGTGTGAGTATGTTCTGCTCACGATAAGAGCGCACTGCGCTGTTTGTCAATTCCTGTGGTTTCTTGGCGCGTGCATGTGTGCACATAAATCTTTGTTAATGCATTTCCCAGAAGTGATCTGGTCAGAGGAAATGTAGTGACTCACCTAATCTGTGGCCCGTCCGCGTGACTCAGCCCCGAGCGGCTCACCTCGCGCCTCCTGTAGGCACGGAAACTGAGCCACATCTGTCTCGCCTCACCAGTACCCCCCCTCCCTCTGTCTCTGTGGCACACAGGTTCACACCGTGATTCAAGAAACTGGGGGTCACAGAAAACTGTACCATCTTCAGACAATGGGTCAGTTCATAAAAGGCGACCAGGGAGGCCCAGGAAGCACCCACTCCCATCTGAAGCTTCTCCCCCAGCACACTCCACCACCTCTGGGTTTAAGTCAGTGCCTGAAGTGCAGGCTGGCACCGAGGCAGCGAGGAGAGAGAGAACAGAACCAGGGCTCCTGACAGAGGCCCAGCTGCAGGCCAAGAAGAAGAAGAGCCGCCAGAGGAGACACAGCCCCTCCCCTCCTCATCAGAGGTAAACTGCTCTCTGCCCTCAGACAGTTACAGTTAGTGCTGCTCTATTAACACATCCATTTCAGCACTGTGTGCTAAACCAGTGCCTCTTCTCTCTCTCTCTTGCTCTTTCTGTCATTCTCCCTCTTTCATGGATCTGTTCTTTTAGTGTCACTGAGGACAGGGCAGAGAGTGAGTCGCCCTCTGAAAGTTCGGGACACTCAGATGTGGAGCAGGCTCCATCAGAGCCAGTGCCCGTCCCCACAGAGGAGCGCACAGACACAGCCCCGAGCAAGAGCTTCTTAAAGGCAGGCCTCTATTCTGATGACTACAAGACCACAGAGTGAGTCAAATAAACTATTACTATTTAAAACGATAAAGTATTGAAAGTTCTGACTCAGATGTTTTTGTGTCTCAGCCCCCCATCACAGAACACACACTTTGATGCAGAGAGTACAGACTATTCTCCAGAGGAGCGGGACTACAGCCTGCTGCCTGCTCCCATCCATGTCGGTCAGTATGAAAATCTCCACTTCTTTGTATGTATCTGTGAGAGCTTGTCTAACACATTTCATATGTACAGGGAAATACCTAAGACTTAAGCGCATCCATTTCCAGCTCCCTTATGACGTTATGTGGCTCTGGCAACATGACCAGGTAAACACCAGCTTCAGTGTAGTATAAGTACATGTTACCCAATGCAGCCTAAATGTATCTTATCCTTTTGCAGCTCTGCAGACCGCCTGTGGTCCCTCTGAAGAGAAAGAGACGTTACTGTAAGTGTCATTAGATGTGATCAGTAGATTGATTTGAACTCTTTGGTTCAAAAGTCTCTGGTCTTTTCAGGTCGACCTAAAGAGAAGACTGTACCCTCCCAAGGCAATGAGGTGTGTTTGAGTATTTCATTCAGCATAAAATGGGTTGTAATTATAAATGAAGTGACCTGTTTTTATTTCCCTCTAGGATCAGACTGAAGACATCACCAGCCTCTTCCCTCACCTTGACATGGATCCTTTAAGCAGCTGTGAGAGGTGCAGGACAATGCCACATGTAAATCAAACTGAACTACTTATCACACTGTTAACAAGCTCATATCTTGTATTACTGTGTGTGGGTCCAGGAGCTTTGTGGTCCAGCACCATGTGTTTCTACTGAGGAACTGGGAGCTGGTGAGAGAGCGTCAGATTCGCCTGAGGATTGAGCGAGAGAGGCAGAGAGACAGTGAGGAAGAGGAGGAGGAAGAAGAGGAGCGAACGCAGGACCACAGCCACATCAAGTCAGGTCCATGAAGCAAGTGTGTGTTTGTTTTGTTTCTGTAGGGGTCTGTCTCCTTAGTGGCGTGTTTTCATTGTGCTGATGTTTTTTCTATGTGTGCATGAATGTGTGCATGTGGCCTGGTATTTATCATATCATGGGGACATAAATATGTATCTCTCATTTTATGGGGAGCTGCCTCTATTATAGGGACAAAAATTAGGTCCCAATTGCATAAATGCTTAATTATTGGAGCAACAACGTGATTTAAAGTTCAGATTAGGGTTTAGGTTAAGGTCAGGTAATTAGTGACTCTAGTTAAGGTTCGGATCAGTCTCCAGCAAATGAATGTAAGTCCCCAGAAAGGATGAAAAGCCACTGTGTGTATGAGCATGTGTGTGTGCATGTGTGTTATGCTTGTCTCTCAATGCCAGACTCAGCAGTTCAAACTAAGTGGTTTTCCAACCTCAGAATTTAAGCCTCCAGAAATGTTCCTCATTTTCAGTCGCCCACTGCTGGTGTCCCAGGGCCAGCAGGCATCAACTTTCTCCATTAACAGTGAAACCACAGTTTCCATCAAAGTCCCAATGAAAGATTTGACAAAAACCAGAGCGAAAGGGCCACTCACATTAGTGCGCCTGTATTCAGAACAAATAGGCTGACCACCTCAAATTATAGTAAAACCGGGACTAGTTGTGCAATTTGCTGGGATGGACATGATAAATTGAAGTTTATAAATAATAATTATATGCAACACCATATAATTTTGTGTTTTTATCAACCATTTTTATCAACCAGAGAGAGACTGGAATAGCAATCAGACACATATTACAATCCAGAACTCAAAATGCCCCAAAAGTTATGATTTATTGCAATGTTTATATTATCCTGTTTTCTATGTCAATCTCACTATTTAATACTATTCATGTGGCATTAGTGAAAAGTGGGGCATTCTCCACATAAGTGAGAAGAGAGACAGGGCTCTAAATGACTGTGCAGAACAATCAAAACAGGGTCAGGTGGTCCCCCTTAGAACAAAGTAGAGTTTGACTGCACGTACTAACAATGTGATATGTGACTTCTGACCTCAGATCAACAGAAGGGGGAGGAGAAAAATTTCAGCAGTGATTCGCCAAAGAGCCAGGACACCTCCAGCTTTCTCACTGCCAACCCCTGTGTAAGTAACATAAAACCAGCCCGAGACAGGACAAAATAACAGCAAATTCCTTTACAATTACATATTTGAACTTTTTACAGCCCACAAAAGCTCAGAGCGGACCAGAAGAGAGAGAGGAAGACAAAGGAGAGGAAGAGGAGGTATGCAGAAAAGAGCAGAGGAGGAAACGCCTCAGTGACTTACTTCTGACACTGCAGCGCTCATAAGCTAATACAGGAGGGTGAGTGGAAGATCAGATATAACACTATCAAATTACCTCAACTATAATTAATCTTCTTGCAAGTTGCACTGATAGTTTTGCACTGTTGTTCCCAAATTGTTTCTGTGTACTTGAGCTTTTTTTTTTTTATGACCCCATTACAGATATAATGTTTAAGCAGCTCTTAAAGATCCTCCTGTGTAGTTGTGTGCAAAGATATCAAAATATCGATATATTGAATCATTTAATGTGATGATACAGCATCGATATCGTGGGCTGCTGTATCGATATATATTGCAGAGAGTTTTTTTGGTATATTTTACAAAATTATTTTGTTGCAGCTACAGTTTTGTTGCTTGTTTATGCAACACATTTGACATTTTCACTGTTTTGAGGATTAAAATGTTTGTGCTTCCTATGAACTTTGCACAAGAAATGGTTTAACAAAGACTTTTAGTAGCACAGCCATAATTTAGCCCTTATTTTTTATTGAACCTTTGCGAATCGAAAGCTCACTGTATTCAGATATGTATTGTATTGTGGCCTATGTATCGAGATATGTATCGTGGCCTATGTATCAAGATATGTATCGTATCGTGGCCTATGTATCGAGAAGAGTATCGTCGCTTATGTATCGAGATATGTATTGTATTGTGGCTTATGTATCGAGATATGTATCGTATTGTGGCTTATGTATCGAGATATGTATCGTATTGTGGCCTATGTATCAAGATATGTATCTTATCGTGGCCTATATGTCCAGATATGTATTGTATCGTGGCTTATGTATCGAGATATGTATCTTATCGTGGCCTATGTATCAGCTATCAAGATATGTATCTTATCGTGGCCTATGTATCGAGATATGTGTCTTATCTTGGCTTATGTAACGAGGTATGTATCATTCCGTGGCCTATGTATCGAGGTATGTATTGTATTGACAACTTCTTAATGATACCCAGCCCTACTGTGTGCTTTTAGCCATGTTATAATGCGTGTTATAATGCTGTTATCAAAAACAGTCCTGGAGCTGTTGTTTTTTTTTCATTCACACATGTTTGCGTAATCCTTTATCCGTCTGTCTAAATCTCCAAAGCTTAAAATGCTCTCTTCCACCTTGTGATGTCATGAAGCAGTATTTTAACAGCTACCTTTTACCTTTTGTTCAGTAGAGATTGGTTAATGAAGGTTTAATGGAGATTAAAGACACAGTGGAGCACTTCCTGTATTACCACATGACAACAAAAGGTGGAACAAATAAATGTGTTCTGTTTTCCTCATTTTGAAGATGGCAAAAATCAAGTACAGAGCCTCTAAACATATGGTTTGGGAAGCTGACTGTATTTCTTCTGTTGTGTAGGTGGACACACTGAGGACGGGACCAGGCCCACACGAACAGATGGACAGGAGATGATGTCATTACGCAGCTACTATTAATGAACAAAAACAACCAGGAGAACAAATATTAGTGGTGACTGAAAATGCATCGGTGACACTTGGAGCAGACGATTGTGTTTTTGAACGTATTACTCAGAAAAGACATCGAACCAAGGCTGAAACCATGGCAACGCATCTTTTGGCCAAAAATACGATGGATCGAAAGAAAACAGACCAGCAGACATGAATTTGCACTAGTGCTGGATTGACAAGCACACTAAAGACTGATCGTATGCAGAGTTGTTAGACTGTATAACTACAAGCCTGCACTTCTAAGATTGCATTTACTTTGGCACCTTAAGGAAAGACTGACAGTGGCCTGACTAAAGAGAAGCAATAGGCTATGTTCACAACATTTTAAAGTTTGATGTCATATTTCTGATGGAGGGCAGGGTTTATCCATGTTTTTCAGAGCAGTTAAAAATTTGCACTGTTGCCAAAAACTCAGAGCTTACTATTCTACATTTTTAAACAATCCACAGTCCTCAAAATGGCATCTGTAAAGAGGAAACTAAAACCCATGAATATAACTCTATGGGTAATTTACAGCATTTGTCAGAAATAACCAAGCAGAAAATCCACATATGGTGAATCCAGGAATTTTGTCAGTGATTGAGTCAACAAATTTGCTGGAATAATATTTTGGCAAAATGTCATTTCGACTGAATACAGTGGTGCCTTTGTTATTAAATAATGTCATCACTTGCCTTGATATGATTAATACTAATAATAATAATAATTTCACCTCAGTTGATTTACGCGAACAGAGAAGACTTTGAAATTTGTGCCAGTAAAAACATTTTGACCTGCCCTCCATCTCAATGTTTAAAGGTGTAATAAGTAACTTTTCAGGTTTTGCTTGATTCTGCGGACATGTTATTGCTTTGCCTTCTAAAGTTTCCATAGTGACATTAAATCTATCCATCTTGCATTTAAACAATTACAGGTGTAGGCAAGTGGTGTACCCCTCTCCTGAAAAGTTACACATTGCACCTTTAACTTTGGACTGATTAAAATGTTATGACATCAGCGTTGTGATCCCAGCTTAATGGTACTTTGCATTTCAGCTCTGAAGTTTCCAAGAGACAAGGAGCTCATGAACGCTGCCCCAGGGTAAAAAATGAAAAAAACTGAAAGAAGAAATTCCCTGCTTAAGTAGGTCAAAACTGAACTGTCTTTTTCTTGTTAAGCTTTCAAAGTCACGTTGCACCTTTGGGATATGACATGAGGAGGGAGACACGAGCAGAGGTGGGTAGAGTAGCCAAAAAATGTACTCAAGTATAAGTACTGTTACTCAAAAATGATAGAAATAAGTAGTTCTGGTGGTGATCCAAGTTATTACTCGTATCACAGAAAAACATGTTTGGGGAAAACACTATTCAAATAAGAGTGAAACCTGGACATAATACAGCATTTTAATGTAATCTGACATATAAAATACAGAATAATCCACATATTCAAAATGGAAGATCGGTGTCATAACAGAAGGTAAAGTGCAAGAAACACCTCAACTGTCAACACATTCATGGGTTTCAGCTTCCTGTTATATGCACATTCAGAAGATGATGTTTTTTTTTCATTGCTAATTACTGTGTCAACGGTCCTACGTTTTCGTCATTCTGAAACCCATGGATAGTTCTTGATATAGTTAGGCTTTCTTACAGTAAAAGGAGTATCCACAACTTTTGCTCAAATACGAATAATGTTTCTTATGGTCAGAAAACTAATAGAAGTCAAATTTTTACTCTAGTTACTCAAGTAAATGTAACTGATTGCTACCCACCTCTGGACATGAGCCAGTTAAAAGCTTTTGAGTCAGTGTTACTTTACCAAGACAGTGTGTGCTGTGTACCAGTGAATAGACAGGGGAGGGGGTGGGCTTAGACATAGGAATTTTGGCATTGCTGCAACAGAATTTGTAATGAGGCTTTAAGAAAAGGAGGAGAGAAGTTATTTTTTGAAAAAGAGCAGAACTTAGTGACTCTAATCTGCTATAAAACAGATAAATATATGAATTATAAGAATGTTTATTAATGAGTATTTTCAGTATTATTTCCTGGTGAAGGGTAATACATATTATAAAGTGTTTTTGTTTACTTCCGGCTGCCTGAGAATGTGCCCCTGAGCAGAGACAATCAGAATGTCCGTGGGGTGAACAAAATGTGAAAAAGGATTTGAAAAATGCTATTGATTTCATTGCAAAAAGATCATCTAGATTAGTTAAAATGGCTTAGAATGTCAATCTTAATTTAAGGAATTTTATGTTTATTGGGCTGATAGATGTAGGTAATTTCGCTTGCTTCAGTGCATATTTTCTTTTCAAGCTGTTTTATTTGGGGTTGGACAATTGCTCTTGCACTATTTGCAGTTTTATTCTCTTATTTCAAGATGTATTGTATTGAAACTACTAATAACTGTAAAGTGCACGGCGTAACTTCTCATACGCCACCTGCTTGTCTCCAACATCTGTCTAGCAAAATGCCTTGAAAACATGCACTCTTACTGGGAGCAGGGTCGCCTTTCTACAGGTCTGACCACCTGCTAGGCATAAACAATTTTAATGCCATATTGTGGAACATTCCAGGCAAAGCAAAAATAAGAAAAACAGACAAGAAGCAGGATTCCAACATTACCAAAAATGTTACGCAGAAATAATCTCGCTCATATAAGCAATTAAATATAAGCAGTGGTGGATGAAGTACTCAGTTTTGTTACTTAAGTAAAAGTACAGATACCGGGTTAAAAGATTACTACACTTACAAAATGATTACTTACAAAAAGATTACAAAAGAAGTTTAATAATGTGCTTAAATAGAAGTATATTGTATTTTGCAGAGAGTTTTGGAACACTTAAAAGGTGAAATGTAATGATTTTGATAATGAGTTTGTCATTCAATTGATTTGTTAATTTTTCTAGCTGTTTTTTTGTTTTTGTGTATTTGGTTTGTTGAAAGTTGCGACGTAAACTCAAATTAAATGTGTTAAAATAAGTGTCAGCCTTTTCAGCAGGTCTCAAACTGTAAAGAAAATTACTTTTTAGTTTTCAGTCCAAATCTAAAATGTAGTGGAGTAGAAAGTACAGATACATGCTCTCAAATGTAGTGAAGTAAAAGTAAAAAGTATCCACTGTAAAATGTAGCAGATACCTAAAATTGTACTTAAGTATTGTACTTTTACTTTTGTACTTCATTACCTTCCACCACTGAACATAAACTTCTAAAACCATATAAATAAACGTTATTGGAGTATTTTACCGATTGCATATTTTGTATACTCAAATTAAGATTCTGAATTCAAGTCATTTTAACCAAGTCTAGATAGTTATTTTTTGTAGTGTTGGCCTAAAATGCTCTTTGAAAGTGCCATGCTGTTTATGTACCTAAGCGAGCTCATGCAGTCTATAAAGCAATATCTCCTGAATTAAGGACTATACGACTTCCTTTGTAATGTTTTTGTTTGAGAAATAAGGTCATTTCTGTACAGCTGCATATTACGTTCTTTGTTGTAGGATTTTGGTACATTTTTAGTGGAAGAAAATGTCTAGTTTCATGTGAATGTACATATGAACTGTTTTTATTCTGTCCGCAGTAGCCTGTAATTAGTAATATACCTAACAATACTGTATGGACTTAACATAAGCTTTCTTTAGATTTTTTTAAACATGACTGACCAATATGGGACAGTTCTCTTTAAATACTGACTATGATTGTATGGGTTATTTTGTAAAATATATACTTTGTCTCATTTTAGTCCAGTTTTGGTTGTTGTTCGGACAATCAGTGATGACTATAGCTGTTCTGTGTGTCTGTCTGCTCTTCTTTGTAGTGTGGCTTCTGATACTAAGCCAAAAAGTGCAATTTCTTTGACTGTTTACACAATGTATATTTTTCTTCTTTCCTTTTTTAACTAAGAGCACTATGTTAATATGCCAGTGGATGATTAACTTTATAGCAAAGGTACACTAAAGAGATATTTATCTAGTTTGCATGACATGTAACCTTTGCCTGTCGTCTCAGATAATCTGCATCTGAAAAACATTTGGAAACCATTTTAAAGATGCGCTGTGTCACTTTTCTGTCGGAGTGTCCACCCCATGTTTGTTTTTATTGAGTTGTTATTGCTTTATCCGTTATGTTCCACAGTATGGCATTATCTCCATGGAGACAGACAGGAGCGTGATGCCATCCTGCCGAGTTACAGGTCACAGATTGTTTTTCAGCAATAGAAACAGAATTGAATAGATAGGTTTAATGCCATACTGAGGAACATTCCAGGGGAAGCGATAACATATTCAAGGACACGAGCAGGTGGCAGACGCTCAGCAGAAAGGTTACGTAGTGCAGCTTTAACGCCAGAGAATGTCAGCCTCTTCATCATCAACATAATAAAAGCATTTTATGTCTACTAGCCCAGCCTCGGTGTTGTGGATGGGGCCTTCTCGATGCTGCAGTGAGCCTAATCAACTTGAATAAACAGTGCTATCTAGTGGCCTCGCGTTGTACACTTCACACTGCGTTGTCCTTTAGCAATGAGTCACAAAGGCAGCACAAGATGGGGGAGCTGCAGCCCAACCTTATTTTGTCCTTCACAGCACACCACAGTTACATACTCTGGGCCATTTATAGTTTTATGGTTAGACCTGTGCAAAATGTTTCTTTGAGAGATTTAAAGTTTGAAAAAATTGTGAATATCTGTATCCTATGATCTTTCTCAAACAACTAGACCACCTTTGATATTGTATATATTATTTAAATGACTAAAACAAAAAAAATGTAATTATAGATATTATGTTTAAATGGACCCTGGGAACACAGACTGACCCTCAGTTACAGATAAAAGTAAATCAATTTCACTCCCTGCTTGTCTCTGTGGAGATGTTATTGCTCTGCCTGCAATGTCCCACTATGACATTAACTTATTTGTCCAAGGAGACAACTAACTGTCACCACCAGGTTAAAGGTCAGATCTGTGGAGAGGTGACCGCACTCACTCCAAGGAGTTTTTTGTAATAAAAATACTAGCAGTTGAATTAATGCAAGACTGATTCTTCAAAACATTCAAGGAAGTAAAAACATCTTCACTTAGGCAAACATATGACACAACGATAAAAGGTACATAGAGCACCTTTAAATTAATTAGGTAATCCTATTTGATGTATGAACTGGCAGCATAACTACTTTTATTGGTGAGATATGATTTATATTCTTTAGATGAGCAGCTATAGAGAGAGTTATTGAAAGTACATTGTATTTACTTTATATTTAGTTATAAATGGGGGTAATTTAAATTAATTAATTATCTAAGTTAATTCATTAATAATTAATTAAACTATTGTTAGGAAGGCCCATATCTGGAAATAACATAATTGTTCACCAAAGTAAACTGTGAGTTATGAATATTTATTGACTAAGTTAAACTGACAGCATCTTGATATGAAATATGTAAATGAGTGTAGCTCAGTTCCTCTAGGCTGGTGTCTAAAGATTTGAGATTAGGATAAGATAACTTTAAAAGTTATCTAAAGTTATGTGTCTAAACTGATCATTCAAACCATTCTGTGAAATGTGGGCATAAGACCTGGCAGAATGGAGATGTTAGTCACAGTGTGGTCCAGAGAGGTTTGGACATCTGAAGTCCTCAGGGCGTTGGGTCTGAAGAATCAAATGAACTGAGATGGACGGAGGCCACATGATCTAAACAATAACTCCAGGCTCAAGCAGCCTCAGGCTGAAGGAACACTGTATCCTCTGTTTAAAGATGAGCAGAAGACACCTTCCCAGTGTCCCTGAGGTCTGAACAGCACTGGTCACAGAGTAAGGCCAATTTTACCAAAAGCTATTGACTTCAGAAATGCAAATATTTAAATTTGGAAAAATATGAAAGCTTTCCTTCCAGTCAGATTATCTACAGTAACTTGGATAAAACACGTCAAAAGACGGACACATGTTTGGACACATGTTTCTCTGAAATGTTCTTTGTCCAGCTCCAGGGTCATGAGGCTTTGAACACTGGAACTCAGGTAGCGCGTGTTCCCAGTGTTGGGAGGTGTACAAATGAAAACAACATCATCAGGGGGGTGCTATAAAAAAGACAAACCAGAGATTACAAAAGTATTCTTAATTCTTAAAACTTAAAATGACTCCTGACTCAAAACTGTCTCTCAACAAGACTCACATGAACTTAAATCAAACTAATGTTACAGTTTACTACAGATACTTACCTGTGCACAATATATGATCCATCTGAATAACTCTTGAGAGCTCAGAAATACGAGTCTGTTTTGTTTGACTGAAAATTGGAAATGAACTTGGTGAAACACAGACCCTTATATACGTCCTGTGTCGACATCGCATTGTCACAGAGAGTAGAAAATGAAGTAGAATGTGCAGTAGAAAGTACATAACTACAACAGCCTACAAAGTGTTATAGTAAAATACTGAAATAGTGAAATATTACTGACTGAGTAACAACAAATCAGTGTGTATGTGCTTTCTTAATATAGTTTATGACAATAACTGTTAAAAAAATCTGTACTTGTTACTCGCTGACTTTTGCAGTGAACATAAACAACCCAACCAAACATCTCTCAAAATCGGGTAGCATTAATAAGGATTTAAACATAAGGATCCGCATACCACAGTAAATTATTCAAACTAAATAAACAAAGGTGCACCATGCTTATATTTTACCAGTGAATCTGAGAAATATTATCATTTTAGTTATAGATGTGGTATGATACTGTAATAAGTTTCCACCAAAAGAGCACAGCAAGAGCAAATCCATATTATTTCTAGTCAAGGCAAGTTTATTTGTATAGCACAATTTGTACTCAAAGTAATTCAAAGTGATTTACAGAATAAGAAAAACATAAAAATCACAAAGCAAACAAATCAAAACATAAATAATCATAAAATTAAAAAGAGAGAGAGACAGAGAGATTAAATTAGAGAGAAGAGAAGAGTGCGGAATGAAAAATGAAAACCTTTCAGTCATATGCAGCTAAACAGAACAGTTTTGAGGCTGAATTTAAACAGTGCCAAAGTAGAGGCCTGTCTTATGTTCAGGAAGACGGTTCCAGGTTTTAGCTGCATGAATCAAAATTATATATAATTTTGTGTACAATCAGTTGTTTTGAAACAGCTTTGCAAAGTAATATATAACTAGTCAATCACTTGTGAATTCCTCTGGAGTCTCAGTGCCTCTTCCGATCCGCTTATACTTGTTTTTCATTTTGTTAAGTATAATGAAATGTAATGTGAGTATGTTAATTTCAGCAGGGGGTGTTTAAATGTTGAGTAGCTGTCTATAGTTTAATCAGAAGAATACTAAACCAAAAATGTTTAATCAAAGAAGGTGAAACTGCTGGTGTGCTCCAGTTCTCAGTGAGGTGGTGCACGGGACCATAAACTGAATTATGAAGAGATTTAGTGCGTTTACCTAATTGCCTTTATAAATGTGTAATCTGTATGTTTTTTCATCTGGCACAATGAGCAAGTCCAATATTTTCCAGAGAAGAGGTGATGTGGAATGTGAGTGCTCAGGTCAGTATGATGAAAACCTTTAACCTGGTATTTACTGAAAGTATTGTATGTTTTTGTTGCAAGGGTTTTCA